GAGACTCCATGATTACTTTCTGTCAACTAGTTGCTAAGGCAGCCTCCTGACGCAGGGTTAATTTTATTTAATTATTGCAAATGCAAACTCGGGGTTCACAGTTTGATTAAATATCCCTCAACACAGAAGCAAGCATGATTGCAAAATGCACAGGACAGTACATGCCCTGTGAAGTATTGCTTGGTTGCTTGTTTGGTTGGTTTAAAATAAGATCTCACTATTTAGCCCAGGATAGCTTCATGCTTACTATGTAGCCCATGCTGATCTTGAACTCAAGATATTCCTGCTCCCCCTTCCCAGTACGTAAGGAAAGGACCAGAGTCAGCACAGGACACACCAAGACCTCATTCCCAGCACAAAGGAGATGTATTTGCCCCAGAGGGACAGGGGGCAGGGATAAGAGGTGAAGGCAGGAGACAGAGGACAAGGAGAAGGGAAAAGGAACAAGGAAGAGGGAGAAAAGAGGCAAGGAAGGGGGAAGGAATATTTGCCCCAGCGGGGGAACTAGGGACTGGCTCCAAATAGAGAGACAGACGTGGCCCATAGGGAAATGGTCATTTATAAAGAGAAAGGCGGACACCTGGGTTAGAATTAGTTGACTTGTTTTGATTGGGCATATTAATTAGGTGAACCAAAGGTGGGCTTATGGTTGCTGGACCTTGGTGGTCGGCCTCAAGATGAGGAAGTGGCCGAATAAGGGACCGGACCTTACGGGCTAGCTTTAGGAATGGAATCTAACAGTTTTTAGCAAAGTGGAGAAGGGTAAAAGGCAAAGTCTCCTCACCCTATTGGTCAATGCTCGGGCTGTTGGAGCCCTTCAGTGAGATTTCAACCCTGACGTTCCACGCCCTGCCCAGCCCGAATCTTAACCTCAGATCCACCCGGGTTAGTCAGGACTTTGAATTCACGCTCATTAGCCAGGCTTTTAAGGTCTCCAACTCCTCGTCAACGTCATCGTTGTCGTCTCACCCAAAGATCTTTATAGCAACTGATTCTGAGGGGTCGCTCCGGCGCTGCGGTAATGTTTAGCAAGCGCTTGACGTGTGGATCGGACAAATAGACTGAGATATCATTGCACTGATGGGTTGACAGATCAGTTTTTATATAATGTCAAGGTTGCTCATAAAATTTGTATCTTGTATTTCCACAACAATCGCCCAGCAATAAAATAAGATTTAATTTCAAAGACAGGGATTTTGGAGGAAGACATAGATTGCATTTTTCTGGTTTGTTTGTTGAATTTCTTGTGTTATTTACCAGCCTTTAAGTGCCTAGTTTTCTGTGAGTTCGAGACCAGCCTGGTCTACAGAGCTAGTTCCAGGACAGGCTCCAAAGCCACAGAGAAACCCTGTCTCGAAAAACCAAAAAAAANAAAAAACCAAAAAAAAAAAAAAAAAAAAAAAAAAAAAAGCCTAGTTTTCCATCATCTTCTTGTTCAAAGAAGAAATTTTGGGTAAGTGTTTACATAATTTCTTGTTAAAAAAAAAACAGTAATGTTCTGAAATCTAACTTGAAAAGAGAAGAAAAATAAACTCTTGAATTTTCAAATACACAGCGAGTGAGTTTATTGTTTTCCCCCGGGTGTCACACCCACTGGTTAGTCACAAATAGCTATATTAAGAATGTTGTTCACATTTTTTAAACACTAGCAATTCTGACCCACCCAGCTCAGTGATTTAAAACTGTAACCTGACTTTAATATTTTTATTCTACTTAGGAAAAAATAAGAAATTTCTATCACTGAGAAGATTAAAAGTGATATTTTTTCCACTGTCATGTAAAAATGGCTACATATAGGTATCATTATCGTATCATAATCATAAAAGTTAACAGTAATATTCTGCTTTCCGGTCTGGCGAGGTGATTTCTGTGTACTGCCACTGAAGTCCATTATTACATAGGCTATCTTTTCTACTGTGACTGGGTGACACACTTAGTCCTCTTGGTGCAGGACAAAGAACAGCGCGCAAAACTATCCCCTCTTAGCCTGAAATAACAAGTGAATGGGAAGAGGCCTAATAAGCTCAAATGGCGTCAATATTCCATGGAACTGAATCAGTCGGCTTCTTTGATTTGGATGTGTTGTCTCCTGTGAGTAATCCTCTGGCCAAAGTTGAGAATGGATGATCCCTGTTCTGGGTGAAGAGAGGTCCCTGGTGTTCCCTTCCTCTCTATATTTCAATCCATAGGCCAGCCTTCGACTGCCCCTGCAACACGGCTACCCAGTCCTTTTGGTTTTGTGTTCTGTGATTTTGTTTGTTTTTGTTTTGAAATGGGATCTTGCTGGCCAGGCTGGCTTTAAACTCTCAATCCTCCTGCTTCAGCCTCTGGTATGATTATGAGTGTGTACCATCATATCCAACTTATCATTAACCCATCTTTTCAAGATGTTTAAGATGTCTCTCTCTCTCTTTTTCTTTCCTTTTTTTTTTTTTTTTTTTTGGTTTTTCGATAAATGGTTTCTTTGTGTAGGCCTGGTTGTACTGGAATTAGGTCTGACCAGGCTGGCCTTGAACTCACAGAGTTCTGCCCGCCTCTGCCTCCTGAGTCCTGGGATTAAAGGAGTTCCCTACCATCACCCAGCATTTAGGAAAGTCTTACACAGAGAAACTAGCACACTAAAAACCACCACACTCTAGTCCACCTGAGCAACCCTTCATTCAGTTAGTTAGCTTGGGATGTAGCTCAGTTGCCAAGTACTTAGTTAGCATGCATTTAAGCTCTGTGTACTTAGTCTGCATGCATTTAAACTCTGTGTTTGATCCCCAGCACCAATAAAACTTGGAGTGGTGGGGCTCACCAATAATCCCAACTTTTAAGAGGCGACAAGAAGACCAAGAGTTCAAGAGAGTTTGAAGGTACCCTGAGATACATGAGACTCCGCCCTGGTCAGGATGGGGTAGAAAGACAAGGTCCTGTCCTCTTGTGTTAGGCAACTAATAGCAATAATTATTTCCTAATTACTTCACACAGCTCTCTTTGAACTGTAGCCATCAGCTTCTCACTGGGAGGGCGCCCAGTGCACTGGGTTTGGGGGTGGCGGAAGAAAGGCATATCCAGTCATGTGGATCCAGTCCGCTTGCTCTCCTCCTGTGTACCTGGTAGAACCCCTCACTCCTGGCTGTTCCTGTGTCTCAAGAAGCCATGAATTCCAATGATCACCCCAATGCTGAATTCTGCTTTCTTCTTCCCTCTGACTTTAACTATTGTTTGAGTGATTAAGATTCTTCAAATTTCCATCATTGGGAGTTGGTTCTCCTGTAACCCAGGCTCGCCTGGAATCTACTGGCTATGCAGGTGAGAGTGATTTGACCTCCTCATTTGTCTGCTCCCACCCCCCAACTGCTAGGGTTACCAGCATTGCCCCCTCAGCCAGCTCTGCGGATGTCTCAAGTACAGCAAAGCTCCGAGTAAAGCTAGTCTTCCCGTGTGGAGCGGGCACACTGGTCCATACTCTTTGTGAATATGAGTACTTTATTTTTAACCTACTCCAATGACTGCTTGGTTCACATTTATTGGCTGAGATCACAAACTATCTGCAGATTGCACACCATTAAACTCTTGTCTTATCATAATGATCTTATTTGCCAAGTTTTCTGTCTAATAGGTTATTAATGAACCCACCTAGGTCATCACGCTGAGCTCCCTCCACAGCCCGAGACCTGGTGGAATCCTAAAGCCTTGCTCTTCCCACATGGTCTCGAGCTGTTCTCAGAGCCATAGGACCTCTTTCTGTTTTTTACATTAGGCCCCTTTAATGGCTATTATCTGGTTTGAATATTGTCTCCCAGGCATTTTCAAGGGCAAGACTGGTTTAATGTGGCTGGGACAAAGAGTGTCCAGTGCCTCAGTTCCTTAATGATAAAAACACTGCTCCACTTCCTCGTCACCCTTGCTCTCTTTCTCCCATACTTTGTCACCCTGCCCTCACGACTCCCCACCCCCAACAACTTTTCCCCCAACTCCTGCTGATGAGGTTCTCATTTATCTTAGAGGGTCTCAAATTCCTAGTTCCTCCCCCACTCCTAATCTACCCCTCTCCTCTCACCCACCCACTCACTCCTCCTCCACCTCCATCCAGAAAGGGGCAGGCTTCCCATGGGCCTGAACATCAAGTTCAAGCCCAGCAAGTTTGAGGTGAGACTGAGCTCCTCCCTGTGAATAAATGCTGGCCGGTCAAGGTAAATCCCGCACGGGGAACAAGCCAGCTAAGCACCAGGGACAGGTCCCGATCTCACTGCTAGAAGCCTTACAAACAGACCAAGCTATACCACTAGACAGCCATTTTTAATAGTGTCTTGAGCCCCTATCTAGATGGCTTACTGAATTGTCACTTGCTGTAGAGATTAAAACCTAATTCAGGAAGTCAACCACAATCTTTAAGAGCAAGTTGTGCCTAATACACAATTATGAAACTAAACTACTTGTAAATAGAATATCTCTATCCCAAATACAGATCTCAGGGCAGGTTTTTAGTTCAAGGGAAGTTTAGAGATTTTTGTTGTTTTCTTTTTTTAATACCAGTGTTTGTATGATTGGTTGGGTGAGGTTGGGGGGAGAGGGGCACGGCTGTTTGCTTTTGAGACAAGGTCTGGCCCTGCATTCAAGCTGACTTCAAAATCATGGTCCTCCAGTCCTAGCCTCCGGAGTGCTGGGATGATAAGCATGTTGTACCCCACCCATCTTTAATACCTTTAATCTAGGCTGCCGGAAGTTTAGAGATGTGTTCACTTGCGACAGGGCTGGCTACCTGATAAAGCATTTTTGCCAGACCAAAAGAGGAAGAGGAGAAACAGGGGGAAGAGAAGGAGCAGCAGCAAGCCAAACCTCTCCATAAGCAAGCTCAGAAACAGACCCGTGAAGACCTCTTGCTGGGTAGTGTTGTGTGCAAAGATCACATTCTTGAGATTGTGGTTGAGTGGGAAGGGCAAGCACAGAGGAAGAGGGGAGATTCTTTCTAAACAAAGGGAGATTTGAGCAGACAAGCAGGGAGAACTCACCCCACGAGGCATCTGAACTTGAGAAGGGGAGGCCGTCCTCAGGAGGGTACTTGGATTTGAACAGAGACACTTCTGTTAGGGACAGTCGCAAGCTGGCAGCTACTCAGAAAAGTCTGCCTTCTGTGACTGCTACTTCTGACTAGTTCTCTGGGCTCCCTGAGTGTGTGTGGAGGGGGGGGAGGGGACTGTGCCTGGCCTGCCACTTCTGGGGGGGGGGAAGACTTAGGATGTGCCCGAGATGAATGTGCTTTCACATGTCAGTCCTCCACCAAATCCCCCTTACAAAAGTAACATCTTTATCCTCTGTCACCATCCAATAAATATAGACATTTGCTTTTATGGGTTTGAGGTTGGTTTTTTTTTTTTTTTTTGCCCCCAATAGTTCAGATAATAACAGTGCCCAGACAGATGACTGTCTCCACCTCTCCATTTCTTCAATAGAAATCTAAGCACTGTTAGAACAGAAAGTCAAGGAAGAAGCCCACATTGCCCCCATGTTTCCTTTTGGTTCCCAGCAGCCTTGAAAATAGGTCCTGGTCAGTGACCAAGAAGAAGTGTTGCTGGACAGCTTCCAGGGAAATGTCCTCAGAAGACCCTACACATGTGCTCTTTGCCTATTCCCACAAACATAGATATGATGGCTGGCGTATTAACATCACATCACACCACGAAGATGGAAGGCACAGGGAAAGTGAGCGAGGAAAAGCGCCTTCCTAAGTCTTTACTAGATCACAGTGACCTTCAGCAGCAGTCACCCAAGCCTCCATGCAGCCACAAAAACAGACATACCTAAAAATGTCTTCAGAGATTCTTCTCTTGGAGCCGTTTCTAACTCTACCTGATGGGAATAAGAATTAATATACATTTTAGAATTACTATAAGCAATCCAAAAACTCACTACCTGCCTCCTATGCCCTTCCCTGCCCCCACCGGCACCCCAGGGTTGACCCCAGCCCTGGACTTTGAGCATGCTAAACACTACTGCTGAGCTACATCCAGCCCTTCACCTTTCCTTTTTATCACAACCCATCTCATTCTGCTCTGAAATACTGATGTGCAATTTAAGGGAACGAGCAGATCTTCAATCCAACTGCATGAATATCGACCTTGATGAAATTGCATCAGCCTGAAAATACAGGACATAATACCAGCATTACCGCATCAGGTCAAACAGAAAGGAACCCAGGTGCGTGTTTATTTCTAGGTTTCTTAGGACACCACAGGGACAAAAGTCTGTGAAACTGTAAGATTTAGCCCCAGTAATGCAACGCTATCTTGGGTTTTCCTATTCTCTGCCTTCCTCAAAGATGAAATATGCAAGAGAGAGGCTAGAGAGACAGAGTAAGAGGCAAGAACTTACACGTGGCAATGAAATTTAAAAAATTTAAATTTAAAAAGATACAAGGAGATGAAGATGTAGCTCAGTTGGCAGGGTACTTTTCCAGCATGCATGAAGCCTTGGGTTTGGTCACACACACACACACACATACACACGAGCTTTTTTTAAAAAAATAATAAAATATATGTCATAGGAGATGGAAATATGATGATCGAAGTATTCTCTTATGATACATAGTAAGTTTGAGGTCAGCACAGATTATGTGAGACCCAATCTCAGAAGATCAAAATAAAGAACATGAGAAAAGGAGGGGCCTCCAAGTACTACCTCTGTCACAGGAGGGTATTTCTTCCCTTTTTCCCTCCCAAAGCAGGGTTTCCTAGCTGGTCTGTATCTCTCTGTGTAGACCAGACTGCCCTTGAACTCTGAGATCCTTCCTGCCTCTGTTTTGTGAGTGCTAAGACTAAAGGTGTGTGCCACTATCACCTGGCTCACACAAGAATATTTCACTCAACTGTCCACAGAGATCTGACTGTGTTCCCATGGTCCCATAGAATTTTGATGGAGCTAAAAGACTCCCATCACCTAGTGTTGTAGCCACGATATAACACAATGTGCTCCTAGTATTAAATTAACCTATGAGCTGCCCATCATTCAAAACCATAGGATACCAGCTGTGCATAGCATCTGGTACTTGCTTCTGATGACATTATGTGTTATGTGTACATTGTTTTTCATCATTGTTTTAGATGCTTCTAATTTTATAACTGCCTCACTTTCTCTTATGCTTGGTTTAATCTTATTTTGTTTCTATGATTCTAGGAGCAACATGTTGTATTTAAATATATGAATATTTGTATGTATATACATTATGTGTGTGTGTGTGTGTGTGTGTGTGTGTGTGTAATACTCTTTGATTGACAGACAGATAAATGCATGGTAGGCTATAGAATCAGGTTTGGGGACATTCTGTTGTATAGCAATTTCCTCTGAATTGGAGTGTCCCACTCTGAATAGAAGCTCCTTTAAGACTCAGGAAGTTCTGAACTGAGAATGATGGCATATGTACACCTTCAGTCCCAGCAGTCAGGAGGCAAAGGCAGGAGGATCTCTGTGAGTTTGAGACCAACCTGGTCTACAGAGTGAGTTCCAGACTAGCCAGGGCTACAAAGTGAGACCCAGTCACAAATAAAATCAAAGGCTTGGGAGGTTCTGAAAAGAAGCTTGTTAAGACTCTGGGGGCCAACAACTCACTAGCCACAGGAAGAGTCTGAAACTGACTAAACTCACTTATTCTCCCCTTCCGATGTTATATAAGCAGTAAGGATTTCCGAGAGAAGAGCCTCCAGCTGTCAGACTGCCTGCAGGCTGTGGAAAGAGCTCTAGCAGTACAGCTTTCCTTTGCCAACACCTTTGGTGGGCTGAGCTATCTCATGGAGCAGGTACCTTTATGTCTATGCTGTAAATAACCCCTTGCCCATACTCCTATAAGTAACCCCACAAAACCCATTGGTTCACTAAACTGGACTTTGGTGGTACCATTACTTTGATCTGTTGTTTGTCCCTGAGCTAGAAGTGAGTGGACTAGATATTTGTTCTTATTTTCCAGGAATCATGTCACACACACACACACACACACACACACACACACACACACACACACGCCACTTCCACTACCATTACAACGCTGGCTGCTTTTTACAAGTCATTTATTTGAAGTTCAGTATACTGACACATACCTGCCATATCAGGATGGGGAAGTGTGAACTGGGAGTGTGTGTGTGGTGGGGCGGGGGGAGGGGGGGGCAGAAGCTCAAGGTCATCCTTGACTACACAGTGAGTTAGAGGGCAAAACAACAACCAACAAAGAAAACTAAGGCATTCTTTTGGGCTGGAAAGGTAACTCAGGTGCATAGCACTTGCTTAGCATATACAAGCTCTAGGTTTGATCCCCAGCACCAGGGACTGGTTGGCAAGTTGATCCCTTGTCTTACTCTTGATCTTAGTCAAAATGGCAAGAAATAATTGAATGTTGATCTGTGTGGGAAGAAAGAGAAAGCTGGAAAGTGGCAGTCTTACCAGGGTCCTTGACAGCCATCTAAGGAAGGGACCACAAATGGCCACCACCAGCTTGAACGCTCACACTGGCCTTGAGGTCATAGTGATTTAAGCACACACTCAGCTGAACTCTTGCCACTTGGAGATAGTCTAGAAAATGGCACAGCCAAAAGTACCTGAGAAACTGACTTGTGCTGGGGAATATTGGTTTAACCAGGCAAAGACGTGTGATATTTGTTCGTGCTACATTTGTTAGCCATGTAAAGATGTATGTGTTGCATGTTCATTAAATAAAATTAACCTGGTCATAGAGAGGTGGGGTTAGCTAACTGGTCAGCAGGAAGAAGCAGGGAGGATCTTAGTGTGGTTTTGTAGGTTGAGATGCTGTGGAATGGAGTTACTTCCAGGACACCAGCAAAGAGAGGAAGTTAGCCCCTTGCTATTCTAATTCTCTGAGCTCACAGGTTTTCATCCTAGCCTTTGAATCTGGAGTTTTAGTGAAATGATAGAGATTTAGTTAGAACTACCTTTACTGACAGCAACAGAGCCATTTGGAAGGAACATAATCCCTCTTACCACTGGGCTGCTAGTAGTTTGAAGTACAGCCAGGGTAAGGAAGGTAAAACAACAGACCTGCCCTAGAGTCAGATGTGGGGGTGGTTAGAATCAAGGTGCACTGTAGTAGGGGACTGCTCGTTTATTTCCTGGCCACCCAGACCCAGATAATAACATAGAAACTATATTAGTTACAACACTGCTTGGCCAATAGCTTAGGCATATTTCTAGCTAACTCTTAACACATTAAATCAACCTGTTTCTATTGATCTGTATATCACCACATAGCTGTGGTCTGCTGGTAAGGTTCTGTGAGGAGTCTGTCTCCTTTGGCAGCTACATGGCGTCTCCCTGACTCCTACTACTTTCTCTCTACATCTCTGTTAACATTCCCTACCTGACTTTACTTTGCTAAGTCATTAACCAATTAAAAACAACAATACAGAAGGACATCCCACATCAGCAGGCATTTAGAACTTGGAAGACTTACTATCCCACCCCTCATTCCCATTTATAGTTTATACAATTAGGGCTGGTGAGATGACTCAGTGGTTAGGAGCACTGACTGCTCCTCCAGAGGACCGGGGTTCAATTCCTAGCACCCACATGGCAGCTCGCAGCTGTCTGTAACTCCACTTCAAGAGAATCTGACATCATTATACCAATGCATATGAAATAAAGTTAAATACAGTTTAAAAAAATAATTTCTACAATTATTTCCTTTTGCCAGAACTTAGTGTTTGTATATTTCTTTAATCACGAATAGATCGTTTCTTCTTTTATCTTTTTGCTGGTGCCTGGGTGATCACTTGCTAAATATATTTCACCATTTTATTTACTTCAGGCTAAAGCCCTGGCACCAATACGTTGGCTCCTCCACACCCAACCCCAAGCTGCACATTTCAAAGATAAATCACTGTAATTATTTGTTGTCTTGAAAAGGAGCAGGAGATATGCACGTCGAACTAATATGCACCTTTAATCCACTCGAATGACACTTTGGAGAATGGATGCTGGGAACCCTTAACGCTGGCTTCATATTTCCAGATTCTCCCAACTGGAGGAGATAATTGAGGCTTGTGGAATGCGTTGGGAAATTTTTATTTATTTTTCCGAGAGTCCCACCCCTAACTATATATTTTTAAAGATTCATATTGAATTTCAACGGTCAATTCCGAGGGCTGGCTAATTCCTCAAGCCTCTTCAAGATGAACAGAAAACTAGAGGTTTGGAATCCATAGAACTCTTTGAGATCAGGCTGTAGAAATTTTTATTACGTTGCTTTGATTTCCTTTTTAGAAGGCTTTTATTTTTCCTGTTTAGCAATTTTTCCTTAATCATAACTACAGACAATAATCCTCTTTTCTTCCCTTCACTGAAAAGGAAAAGAAAAATGTGGGTGGAGGATTGTACTAATACATGTTCCCTCTTCCAGTATGAGGCAGAAAAGAGAAGTTTTCTGAATTTTCCCCAGTCAGGTAGATGGATTTAAAAACTGGGTCACATAAGGAGCTTGAGCTGACTTTGTGGACAGAATGGGCCGAAATCCAAGCGCTATTTTCACTCAGGGAATGTGGCAGCCTGTGTGGCGAGGTGGAACCCAGCCCTCATTCCCCCACGGTTGCCAAGCTGTGCTTCAGGACAGCACTTCTTGCTCTGTGGCAGAAATGTCTTGGTCCGTTTTGGGGGAACATCTAACAGGCTCTTGGGGAAAAGTCTTGGCTCATCAGAATAGTTCATGCTAACCTCGCCACTGCTGTGCTCTTAATTATACCGGCTTCTACTTGCTCTCTATGTAAGAAAATGTGGGTGGAAAATGCTAGGGTCGAACTTAGGGTTTTTTGGTACTTGTTTGTGTGTGTGCGCGCGCGCTCGTACACACATGC